CCCCAAAACCCCAAAACCCCGTCAACCTTTTAAAACTAGCATTGGGAAAAATTAGAAAATATAAATTCATGTTGGTATAAAATAAAAGCATTCTTCAAATAAATTCAAATAAACTATCAAAGACTACAAATGTTTCTTGGTATTGGATAAACTTTTATAGATTCTCTATCAATTTTTGCATGATTATTTCCTCTAATAAAATGCTATTTTCATTCAGATAATTGCAAATTAAAAGCCTAAATTTATCCCAAAAAGCCATCAAATCATTTTTAACTACATAATCCTAATTGTGATTAATCTCCTTAAATCTTTCAATAATATACTTTTATCTTTAAAGCTAAGAGATTTCTCTAATTTGGAATAATCTTATTATGTAATCAAGTCTATCGGTAATCAGTGGTTTTCTCAAAATAAGAATACCATAGAACTTAACAAAATCATTCCAATAAATCAATGGCTTAATCTTACTATTCACCTGATTTATATCAAAGTAGGTCAAAATTTGAGATCCAATTTTAAATTCCTAGCAGAGGACCTCAATAGATACACCTATTTCAGAAACAAATTTCTTTATATAACCATATTTTGCCTTAATTGATTTATAAATGAGTTATTTGTATAGCTTCTCAATAAAGCTTGCCTCTTCTTCTAATGTTAGCTCATATTTTGCCAAAAACTCTTGATGAAGATTGATTTTCAATTCAATAAGCTTATTGAGTGTAAAATTTTCATACTTAAAATCTGGTAAACTTAGATACTCTCTTTAAAGTTTCTTAAATTTTAATCTTACTTTCTCTGAGTTCGAGAGTTAAATAAGATCTCTGCTTTATTTAAGTTTTGAAAAAGTCAGCATTAAAGAATCTTAAACAGAGACAGGATTAGTTTCCTCGTGAATAGGAGTAGTTATGTTCATACTAAATTCTTTTCTGTTAACTGAATGAGGACTTAGTTTGAGTTGATATCTTGATCGAGTATTGCTATGATAATCATAATTTGAGTTAGCTTCTACCTTGGGTGACATTTAAAGCTCGTTTTTGTAGATAGCATTAATTTTTATCAAATTAGGAATTTAAGAATTCTCAACTTTTCTAACTCTACTGCTTTTGAAATTCATAGTCTTTTTGTAGTCAACAGAGAGAATACTTTGATCAAAAGCATTTCTCGACTAATCATAAAATCCCTACAATGCCTTTTCATTTTTATGCTGAATCTTCTAATCTTAATCTCTCTATGTTTCATTTATCTCAGGAAATAAAAATAGGTCTTATTATTTTGTATTGAATGCTCGATCTCCTGAGCTGTAAGTTATATCTAAAGGAGTAAATGCTGTTTGGCTTTGCTGATTTTCAAGTTTCTATTGACTATCAATGGTTTAAAGCTGAAGTTCATTTGTTATTTCCTCTAACATTGTGAAAAATTAACGATACTCTTGGCCATCCTTTACTAATATCAAGCTTTTACAGGTCTAACTTACATCACCAACTTCTTTTATTGTGGTGCCATCATGCTTTATAATTTATTAGAATCCATCATCCCTATTCTGAATTGACATTGTATCCAAAATTTTGCAGAAGTTTTTAACATTAGGTCTTTCAACTAAAATCCTGTCTAGCAGTTTAGTTACTGCTCGAATACAATTGATTTCGGTTCCATTAGGCAATATTCTTTTGCTAAACTTTGCTTTTTTGATAATTTTTTCCATTTAAAAGCTATCATCTTGATTTGCTCTCATTGTCAAAGGTAGGAGCAAAGTCTTATTAAGAGTATTTCTAAAAGCATTAGTTTTTTAAGACCTAAAAGAAGGCATCAATTTACTCTCTTGATTTCGAGATTCTAAGCTCTCCCTATAATTCCTTATGCTATCAATCACATATTGCTAAAATCTTTTATTTCAATGTAAAATGGTTCTTTATTACTACCTTTCCTGGTCTTAAATTTAAATTGTTTGATGTTTTTTGTTGATAGTTTGAGACCTTATATCATTCATTAACTTTCCATAGCTCTATTGAAGAACATCTTCCTGATAACTTATATTGGTTTTTGCACTTTGCTAAAACAAATCATAGCCCACCTGAAATTAAGTATTCAAGTTCAAAGTTTTATTCAAAGAGTATTTCTTGGTTCCAACAGGTTTAGAAAAATTTAATCTAGGTCAGTTTTAATGATAGTTTAACATGGAGAGTTTAAGCAGTTTCTCATCTAAAAATTATTCCAAATTATCACTCATTTTAATGATTATAGATCCAATATAATGTAATAACTAAATATGCATTAATTTAGAACCTTGGGGTTTTGGGGTTTTGGGG